GGGTCCACAGATAACCAGGATCCACGTAGGAGAGTCCAAGTGGGGGGCTCCACGTAGGGGGGTCCACATAAGCAGGGTCTTCGTAAGAGAGTCCACGTAGGGGGCTCCACGTATAGTGGGTCCACATAAGCAGGGTCCACGTAAGAGAGTCCACGTAGGGGGCTCCACGGGGGTCCACATAAGCAGGGTCCACGTAAGAGAGTCCACGTAGGGGGCTCCACGTAGGGGTCCACATAACCAGGTCCACGTAGGAGAGTCCACGTAGGGGGCTCCATGTAGGGGGTCCACATAAGCAGGGTCCACGTAAGTAGGGGGGTCCACATAAGCAGGGTCCACGTAAGAGAGTCCACGTAGGGGGCTCCAGTCCACATAAGCAGGGTCCATGTAGGGGGTCCACGTAGGAGAGTCCACGTAGGGGGCTCCACGTAAAGGGGTCCACATAAGCAGGGTCCACGTAAGAGAGTCCACATAAGGGGCTCCACGTAGGGGGCTCCACAAAACCAGGGTCCACGTAGGAGAGTCCGATAGGTCCACGCTTAGTGAGTTAGTTCACCTAGGTAGGGTCCATGTATGGGGGGTCCAAGCAAGGGGCAGGAGGGTCCATGTAAGGAGGGCCATGATGCCAGGCTGCGCAAAAGGAAAGTTGTTGTGAGATTATCTACCTACGGAGCTAGGTCCAAGTAAGAGGGTCCACGTAAGTCGGGTCCATGTAAGAGTTTCCACATACGGGGGCGTCACGTATGTAAGCAGGGGCCATGTAAGGAAAGGCATGAAACGAAGGTCGACTGAGGCAAGGTCCACGTAAGAGGGTCCACGCAGTTCTCTTGAGGGCAGCCAAATGCCTCGGCATTCAACCAATACCTGCTTTCTAGTTCACAGCCAAGAGAAGACTCTGTTGAGCTTGACTCTAGTCCGAATTGGTGAAATGATTCAAGAAATGCCTTTCCGCATGTCTTTTCCGCATGTTTTAATGGCTGGGCGGCCCCAGCAGATCCTGCACGGAGGTACACTAAAATACCTGTTCGGCTATTTTAATATCCGCATATTTTATTGTAGTAACCGTACCTCGTTGCGATGGACCGTCCCTAGGCTATCCAGTTGGCGGCTGTTGCCATGGCGCCCTTGGCAGGGGAGGAACAGCAGAACCAGAGCACCTGCAACCCTTTCAGCATGTGGTCAGATGCCGACCACGAAACAGCATGTCAGGAGGCGTGCTCATGGCCAACAAGTGCAGTTTGACAACAGCCAACAACCTGTCTCCTCAAGCCGCGGGGAGTTCGAGCATTGTGGCTTGGTGTTAGGAGCCTGCCGGATGCTTGGGGTGGCCTCGACTGCCAAGGATTGTGGATTGCACCCCAACAAAGAGGTGACAATGGATTGGGCCAAGCATGTGGACACCCAATACCATTGGGTGCAAGTGCGCACGGCCAAGAAAGAATTCCGCCTCAAGAAAGAGAGCTCTGACCGCACGCTAGCTAGCTGAGGTGCTCACAAATGACAAAACCTGTCACCGGAGAGAAAATGAACAAAGCCATGAAGGGCATGAACTTCCACTTTTTCGAAGGTGAGCACGAGCTCACGCTCAGAGCTTGAAGTACTTCTTCCTGCGTAAGGTGTACTGAGAGAGGCATAGGCTAATTCTGACTTGTTTTCTACTTCTGGGATATGTTAAGCTGATCAGATGTTGGGTCAGTTACATGTACCGTTGCATGTTTGTGTTTCACTGCCGCCGGTTAGTTTATAGAGTTTGGCTTAATTTCACTGATCAGGAAAGAAGTGTGCCTTAGTTTGACTCTATCCTTTTTTGGGTACTGTGACCCTGTGTCACTTTTCTTTGCGGGCCTAAAATCTCCCTTCACAGTCGGTGTAAATTTGGTTGGCTGTCTCAAATTGGTGTCGCCCTGCTTTGTTGTTGCGCTGAAAGTTGAACGAAGCAGATGAACAACAACAAACAGACCCACCAACAACCAAAAGCAGGCTATACAACGCAGAAACAAGATGACGCAAGCAGCAAAGGCTGGATTGGAAAATGGTACCAACAAAAGGTTGGCAATTGCAACGCGGTCCGCTATGGTGAGTTCTTATGCGCATGTTTTTCCTCGCAATAGACCCTGCCAACCTTCGAGGTGTGTGTGGTTCCGCCTTGATCCATCTCTTTTGCATCAGTTTGCATCCGTGTGATTCAGTTGTTCAATTTGTTGTTTCAATTCTTACTTGCGATTCTTAATGAAACAAAATTTGGTTCCAACCCCCATGCGTGAAAATAGTTGTTGTTATAGTACTTGTTTGCGTGAAAATGGTTGTTCACGTGACAATGCCAACTTGAGGCCAGAAAAATCTATATGAGCAACCGACAAAACATGCAATGACTATTTTAGTAAAGAGCGGTCGTGAATCTCAGGAATTTGGCTAAAACCAGCAAAAGCGATAGGCCCCCCTCAAAAGCAATAACCTTATTTCCGCAGTGTTTGGATATGTTCAGCATGTTGACATTGTGGCTAAAACCTGCAAAAACGATAGGCTCCCCTCAAAAGCGATAACCTCCCTAAATCATGTCCTTTGCTTGACAGTACGTTTTGGCAGACGCTCATATAACAAAAAGTTACTTCAGAACGTTTGCTTGTCTGGGTAAAGCTTGGATCGACTTGAGCACTCCGTCAGCGGGCCCTTGCACTATGCTACTAGAAACCATTGTCATTCACTCTTTCAACCACCATGTTGAACATGTTCTAAACTTGTGGTTTTCGCAAAACTGCGCAGTTAACCGTTGCACTTGTGGTTCCTCAGCGGGCAACCTGTCAGACCCTCGAAGCCGCCGTGGTGAAGACCTTAGCCTTGCAGATTTTGGGTTGTGCGTTCAACTGTTTATAGTTTTTTTAAATCCCCCCTGAACAGATGTAACAGGATGTATATATACAGGATATGTAATTACAATACGTTTCACCTTTCTCCCCTGGTCTATCGTTCGTTATTTCAGGGTAGCAGCCTGACTGCTTACCTAGAAGTCCAATCTCAAAACTGGCAACGCGCGAAACCAAATTAGAGTAGATACGCTATGGGCACAAACTACCGGTGAAAGGTCACAAGTATTGGCATGTATTGGCTGGTGGAGAGTGCAACTTGTTTACAGCTTTTTCAGGTTCAAAGTTAGTGTGTTTAGTTTCCAAGAAGGTGTTGATCATTTGATAGGATTTGATGGATTTGTTGCTTTTGTGGATGTAGCAATCCACGTTCAAAGGAGAGAAAGCGCTGGGGCCCACTGGGGGTTCGACAGAAATGGCAAGTTCTTCTTCCTGCTGTCGCTATCTTCGAAAGTACAGCAGGAAACTTGCACTGGGATGCCTCAGAGAAATATGAAGCACTCGGTTTGGCGTAGAGAACGTCTCCGGGTAGCGCTGAACTTTGGCAGTATATTTCGGGATGTGGACCAAAAGTGTAAGTACAGCATAGCACTTGAACCCAGAAGCCTTGCAGATGATATGATGAGGGATGACCTATATGATCCCACGTCCTCGTAGGTTAAGACGAACTTAGGAGGATGTCTTCTTTCGTAGGGTTTGGGCTCAGAGCAGAGTGAATGCAACCCTGTCGCCTCTGCGAGATTCAGACCGCAGAGGTTGAGGGTACCTGCGTGTTCTGCCGAGCTCGCAATAGGTTCTGGCATAGCCTGGATCGCCTTCCGGTCGTTGCCAGAGGCTGGGCACTCACAAATCTCCGGATTTGGACTGGCGTGGTTGAGGAAGAGTGCGAGAAGCTCGAGGAAGCCCGGGAGGCCCGTGAGGCGGCCGAAAGCACTACCGCTCCCAAGAGTGCACCAGCCTCGAAGAACGCCAATACTCCTAGAGAGGGGAGTGGCCAGGAGAAGGACGACAAGCCCGACAAGCGGTGGATCAGCCCGAGAAGAGAGGAGCCAAGGTCAGGGGAGAAACCTTCTCCTAGAGGAGTAGTTGAAGTGGAAGGCACCGAGGAGGGAAAGACTTCCAGTGCATCAAGGCCGGAGAAGGAAAAGCGCGACAAGGAGCAACAGCAGAGGGAGGAGACCAAGATCCAGGAGTCGGTCCAGGCACAGGAGACGTCGGGGCAAGACTTCAAGTCCAAGGACTGGAAAGAAGGAGAAGAAGGCAGAGGCTGAAGAACGAGGTAAAGAGAAGAAAGCAAAGCCAACCGTCAAGCCACCCACTACACCTTCCAGATCTCCCCCACGGGAGCGAAGGACGGGGCCACCATCACCGGTTGCTTGACCTCAAGGTAGGCAGTGGTCTGGACCTATCAGCAGTTGGCAAAGGGAACCCCAGTATTGGGGGCAAAACAAGGGCAGAGGAAAGAAGGAGAGTCAGTATTACTTCGGGCGCTAGCCTGAAGAGAGGTGAGACGATCTTCAATGCCACCGGCTAGAAGACCAGCAGCAGCTGTGGACCCTCCTAGATTAAGGGGAGGAAGGGCAAGACTTCGACGGCCGGCTGCCATTGTCGAGCCTGCCAGAGAAGAGGTAGAAGGTAGGAGAGAGGGGGTGGGGAGAAGTTTGAAGAAGGTGAGTTGGTGCCATGCCATCAGGTGCCAATCGAAGTGCTGAGGAGGAGGCTCCCGATCGAGGCAAGCGGAGTCTACTGGGGCCAGAGTGGAGGGATTTCAGGGTTGGTCCAAGGCGTTCATGTTCGGAGCAAGGAGGACGTAGAGCTCGAAGTGGTCATTCAGGGGACCAACCTGGAATCCATCTTGAAGTGGGCCTCGGGGTCCGAAGACAATCCATCTATGCGGGACGAGGTGCACAGGCCCCCTCGAAGCAGACAACTACCTCCACGGCGAGTTCATCCGGGCCCGGACGGGAGAAGATCTGCCGTGGATGATGAATTTAGTGTCAGAGAAGGGCGAGGAGAAGCGAGAGGACCCGGTGAAGCCTCCTGCAGAGAAGGGGAGGAAGGAAGAGAAGGAGAAGAAGAAAGACAAAGACAGAGGGAGAAGCAAGGAGAAGGATCGCAGCCGAAAGCGAAGGAGACGGAAGAGCAGCACCAGCAGCTCAAGAGGAGGAAAAGAGAAGAAGAGGATCTCCTTGAGAGGGGAGGCCAAGAAAGAACTGAAGGGAACGGGGGTCGATCCCGATCCACGTTTCCGCCGGAAATTCGCCGCCAGAGCCGCCAAGAGGGTGAAGAAGCGTGGGCGAGGCACCTCATCCAGCAGCAGCTCAGGAGCCGGCAGCGGGGACAGCAGCGAGAAGAGCTGTTCACGGAAGATCAGAAGATCCGCAGGATGGGGCGCGCCGCGCCAGGCGCTTTGACCTGTGCCGCCTTCCGCGACATCCAGCATTCCCTCTTGACGGTACCGGCAGTGCGTGCAACAGCGGCTTCAAGGAGGACAAGCCCGAGAGGCGCTGACAGTGGCCTCCTACTTCAGGGGAGGGTGTCGGAGGCTCGCGACACGCTGACCCAAAGACTCAAGAGTTTAGAAATGAGCGGAGCTGGAGCATCATGGGCCATCTCTCAGAAGGTGGAACTAGTCCCGCCGGAGAAGCAGTGTTGAGTTCCCGGCCAGAGATGAGGGAGGCAATCCGAGAGAACCGCGAAGAACAGAAGACCAGAAGCGAGGCCGGCAGGCCAAAAGGCAAAGGAGATTCCGGGACTTCATCTTGGAGAGAGGACGACAGAGGAAAAGGTCGAGAGGCCAAAGGAAAGAACAAGAAGGGCAAAGAGAAGGGCGAAGGGAAAAGAGCAGAGAAGTGAAAGAAAGGGCCACACCGCCTATGAACTCGGGCTATGAGAAGGCCGACAGCTTGGTTAGCTTGAGGTCGCAGTTTTCCCACCTCAGCGGATCGGAGCACCCCAGTGGTGATGATGCGCTGGATACAGCTGCTGAAGGACGACCGTCGAGTCCTGATGTCCCAGCAGACCCTACCGCCAACCTGGCATTTGATCACAGGTTCGAGCGTGAAAAAGTTTGCATGACGCCGCCGTGCATGGGTGACAGTTTTTCGAGACTCGCTCCATGGATGACCTTCACATTGCAAGAGTCAGTGTCGTTCCTGGGACTTCCCTTGCAGTGCACGACCCAGCCCTCCTGTGACATCTTCCCGTTGCCCACCGATGTGAAGGTTCTCCACGGGCTTTGGGATGACAAGCTTGAGATTGACGATCTGGTTAGGGGTCTTTGTGTTGGGTTGAACTCCATGTATGGGGTCGAACTGGAGAATCCTTTCCCCCCGACCGCTCACCAGAGAAGGGTTTTGGAGTTTCTTCGTTCACAGTCGCAAGTCGTTTCCTCGTGGGAAGATCGCTTGGAGGAAACCAACTGGCATGATTTCTTCAGGTTGAAGACAGTAGACTACACTGGAGAGGAGGTTCTGTGTGCCCAGTACACCACGTGGGATAACCTGGTGCCGGCTATGCCCAAAGAGATCGCCTCTGTTCCTCTAGCAGAAGTGTGTGAGTTAGGATGCCGGCACTATGTCGAGAACTTCCGATCGTATGTTCTTCCCGAGGAGCTACAGCAGCCAATGAAGCCGCCACGAGTTCTCGTTGCTTTCCTGGTTGGAGGCTTGGATTGAAGTGTGCCGGGGGCTGCTGGGATCTGGTGTGTGTATCCCCACGCTAGAACAAGACCTATTTCATGTTGATGGACAGCCGCTTCTCAACGGACTTTTCGGAGTCCCCAAAGGAGAGGAGGAGCAAGGCATACCCATTCACCGCCTAATCATGGATCTCCGACCGTGCAATAAGGTGGTTAGAGGTATAGAAGGAGACGTTGCCACGCTACCCAGTTGGGCAACGATGGCACCACTGAAGTTGATGCCCAGTGAGGACCTAGTGATTTCATCAGAAGACGTGAGGTGTTTCTTTTATATTTTCAAAGTGCCTCGTGAATGGTCCGCCTTCTTAGCCTTCAATCGTCCTATCCCCCCAGAGCTATGTCCTGATGATCAGGGGACCTACTATTTGGCGTCCCAAGTCCTTCCTATGGGATTCAAGAACAGTGTCAGCCTAGCAGCAGAGCTGGTGGCAACACTAGCGAAGGCCTGCAGGCACATCAGGAGATTCGGAAAGATCGGCCGTTCACAGTTCATCGAGAGCTTCATCGTGTGTACTTGGACAACTTTGACTTGCTGGAAAGAGTGGACAAGCGCACGACTGCGCTCCTACAACAGGAGTTGGGTGAGAGCGTCCTTGCACTACGTCATGAGTATGAGAGGTGGGGAGTCCCTCGCCACCCGAAGAAGTTTACGATCCGGGCAAGTAAAGCCGAAGTCCAGCGAGCCTATCCGAAGCCAGCCAAGATCCTCAAGTACGCCCAACTGGCCAGTCTCCTTGTAGGGGAGAAGCGATGCTCAGTGAAGCAGGCTCCAGTGGTGGCCGGAGGGCTCGTGTACATGAGCATGTTTCGCCGACCGCTCGTAGGTTCGCTCAATGCCTTGTGGAAGTTCATCGAGTCGTTCAAGGGCTATCCAGTTATCCAACAGATTCCCAGTGAGGTCAAGCTGGAAGTGGCTCGCTTCGTGTGTCTTATCCCCTTGGCCCAGATGGACTTTAGACTGGACATCAGCCCCGAGGTCACTGCAAGCGATGCCTCCACTACAGGGGGGAGGACTCACGGTAAGCACAGGCTAACAGGTTTCGGGCAAGCAGCGGCAGTGGCATCCATTCGCGGAGACCTACCTGAACCTTCCGATGTCTGCGCGGTTCTCACGGTGGGTCTCTTTGATGGTATAGGGGCCCTCGGAGTGGCGGCTGACGCCTGCCAGCTTCCAGTTTTAGGTCACATCAGCGTGGAGGTCAAGAAGGAGGCCAGTCGAACACTTGAGAGCAAGTTACCCTCCACAGTCTTCGTTGAAGCCGGGGTTGAAGCGGCGGATGATGAGATGGTTAGAAGTTGGGCATGCCGTTTCTCTCAGGCAGCAGTGGTGATCCTATAGGAGCTGGCCCGCCTTGCCAGGGCGTGAGTGGACTGAACAGTGAAAGGAGAGGAGCTTTGAGAGACCATCGGAGCTGCTTGTTCAGCCATGTTTGGCGCATCAAGGAACTCCTGAAGAAGCACTTTGTCTGGGCGCAGGTAAGGTATCTCACTGAGAATGTTGCCTCGATGGACGATTCCGATCGCTCAGCCATGACGGATCCTTCAATGATCGATGCTGCCGGAGTATCGTTGGCTCGACGACCAAGGCTGTACTGGTTTGACTGGGTCCTACTAGGGGAGGGGCTGCGCATCTGGCCGTATAAAGGCAAAGGGCCCAGTGCTTTCCGTGAAGTGGAGCTCAGCAGTGAGCTGGATCCGAAGGAGTACCTGCAACAGGGCAGCACAAAGGCAAGCGCAGAGTTGTTTCCTACGTTCACCACCTCGAGACCCAGGAGCCACCCAGGTAGGAGGCCAGCAGGACTAGAGCGGCTCACGCCAGAGGAGAGGCAAGACTGGGAGGATGATGCCTATCGGTTCCCACTATACCAGTATCAGAGGAAATTGTCCATCACCGACTCGAATGGCCGACATCGTCTTCCCAATATCCGAGAACGGGAAACCATCATGGGGTTTCCAAAGGACTATTCCCTCCAGTGCATGAGCAAGCAGTTTCATGGGCAGCCGAAGCATGAGGACGAACGGAAGAGCCTCATAGGTAATTCATGGAATGTCACGGTAGTGACATGGCTGCTGGCCCAATTGGGCTACCAACTGGGTCTCTGTCCACTTCTTACACCACAGCAAGCAGTTCAGGCTACAGCCCCCGGTCGGTCAGCAGCCCTCAGCGGTCTCCTACAACGTCAAGCCATGAGGAAGATGCCCAAAGGGCCCGTGCAAGGGGAGTATGACCTCGTGTCGAAACTCCTAAACTTGGTCAGCCTGAAAGGTGAGGATATCATGGTTCAGGCACCTACAGGGGAGACCCTTCGGTACCATCGTCTTCGAGCGAGTCTCCCAGCCTCATTGTGGACCTGGAAAACTGTCATGGGCTGGCCTTGGCGAGGCAGTCCGGAACATATCAACGTTCTAGAGTTGCGAGCGGTACTTACCTCTTTGAGATGGCGCATTGTCAAGAAGCATGCCATCCGATCAAAATTTGTGCACATGATCGATAGTTTGGTGTGCCTCCATTCGCTCTCTCGCGGCCAAGCAGCAGCCGCAAACTTCGTCGTACCATGAGTCGTGTGAACGCTTTGCTCCTGGCCAGTGGCTCCCATGCCGTACGGGCGTATGTCCATACGGGGGACAACCCTGCGGACCGGCCTTCCCGGAGGCCGGTGAAGAAGAAATGGTAGGACGCAAAGCTGCCCATCTTGAGGGCAGGGACAAAGCCACACGACAACAACAACGACGAATACTTGGCCCGTTGAGGAATCTCACTGTACAACCAGCCACTCGTGAACATTACGATCGCGCACTCGAAAAGTTCCGACAGTTTCTAAAGGAAGAGAACCGTCAATTCCCTCGTGATCCAGGTCCCCTTGATCATTGCAGAGCCAGTACATCGAGGTGCTATGGGAAGGAGGCGAGGGCCGAGCCCTAGCAGCGGATACGATTGCCTCAGTACAAGACCATCTTCCAGCAGTTAAAAAGGCAAATTAGCAGCATCGTGGAGATTGATGAAAACTTGGGCAACCAACGAGATACCGAACCGGGCTCCGCCGCTTCCTCTCGAAGCCCTGGAAATGACGATAGGCCAGAGCCTGTTTCAAAAGGATGATCTTTTTGCCCTTTCGCTCATGCTCGCCTTTCATGGACTCCTAAGAACAGGGGAGTTGCTGGGGGTTCACAAAGCTCATTGCCAACAATCAGGTCCACGCAGTGTCGCGGTCCTGTCCCTGGGGTTAACTAAAGGGGGCAAAAGGCAAGGAGCAGCGGAGAGCATCACGATCAGAGAGGAAGACACCCTTCGTAGACTGTGGCAGTGGAAGAATAATCACCACACTCCCGTAGCATGTTGTGTGAGGCCCCACACGCTTGGCGTCAGAAGTTTGCCGCTTGCTTGGAAGCCTGCGGTCTCAGTGACCACCAGTTTCGCCCCTACAGTCTAAGACGAGGGGGGGCCACCTGCTACTTTTCAAGATACGGTTCACTAGACTGGCAGGCTGCAAAGACGGCCAGGGTGTACATAAACGAAGGACTTGCCACTTTAGCCGAATTGCGACTACGTACCAACTCTCAAGCACAGGCGTACAAGCGCCAGTACACGAGATCCAAGAACTTAGAGCTCCAACCCCTTGAGCGTGCCCAGAAGGGCAGGCCAGGGGAAAATGGAAAGAGAAAGAAGTCTCGAAGAAAGAAGGGCAAGAAATAGCCCATTTTTCCCGAATTTGAACCGCCGGCGGTATAAAAATGCACAGGATAAGGGATGAGCAGGGTAGTGGCCTGGACGTACCCCGGACTGGC